GTAACATGCTATAGTTAGTTTACCCATGATACATACTAGTATTTTCTGATGGCTCTGAAATTGTCATTTTCAATTCTACGAAAACTTACTCTCATTTATTCCTTACTGTTCCAAAATATATCCATTCCGCCATACAATGGTATAGAAGCCAGCAAATGATGAGTCAATCTCCTTAATTGTTTATGCTAATTATATGCAAATGACTTTCATGTATAGAGATGCATTTTATGTGGTTTGTATATAGTTGTGAGCTACTTTTTAATTGCTGTAATACACGCACAGTTTAAGTTCATGAATAATGTGGACTGAATACATACATGTATAGTCTAGTATTGATGTTTGAATATGCAATTTTACTACAAGTAGAACATGTATTTCCTGTCGTAGAAGTCATCGCCAAGTGCAATCTATAACCTTGTGCTTGCACCATTTTCTGTGCACAGTGACCCAACAAGGATGCACATCAAAGACTCTAAAAGTGTTTTAAATGAAATCAAGCAATTTTGATTTATATAACACTGCACATGTTTAATGATTATACAAGGCTGAGCACAAAACACTAAACTTAAAATATAATAAAATAACTGAAAAAAAATTGTAACTTTTGACTAGCATCTTTTTTCTAGCTTGCATATCACAAATGTTGGCTTGCTGTTGTTTCATATTCATGTTGAACTTAGTAGATTGTTGATTTCTTATTCTGTACGTAGTATTTGAGAAGTTAAACCTACTGTTTGTGGTGCTGTACAATTACGAGTCAGGTTTAAGAACGTCTGTAAGCTGGACGTCAACATAGCTTTACAGTGTAGATTTTGAGTACAATTTTTTGAATGGGCAGCAGTGATCTTACCAGTATGACCTATAAACTAAACATACTTGGATGAAATGTATTTACACAAAATTTGAACGTGTGTAGCATAACTGCCTCTTTTCCAAGCCGAAAAGTGTATTTTTATCATATTTTTTATTTCAAAAGCCAAAAATTCTTTTTTTTTTTATCTATGGATGTCATAATTAGCATAATTAATGAGTCTTATACAGTCAAGGAGTTTTACCAAGTTAGAAACATTGTGGCTTCCAAGTTATTTATGCATAGTGTTGTTTTGTATATATATTATAAATATAAGGTGGTGTGTACAATGTATAAATGCTACCCTGGACTCTGTGTACAATGTATATATTGTGTTCAATGTTCTAATCATGCAAAGTAATAAACCTTTAGAGTTGTGTAACAAACTTCATCACTTTATTTTTAACTCGGGGACTATTATCGGTAATTGACTCCCTTGTGTGAAGCACACTGTGGGAGTCTTTGCAGTTTGTGCATCTGTGTATGTGTGTGTCTGTTCAATATCCCAAGGCATCAGATTTCATTGAAAGGAAGTGCAAAGTTACTCTTGGACAGTGTGCAGACCTGATTAATATTTGGTTGAAATATATGCATACTAATTATTTAATTTGCATATAATAATTACCCAATTTATTTCTCTTTCACCAGTATCTCAAGAAATAATAAGCCATACAAGTATTTATTTTAGGGTTCAATTTTGTGCTTAGTACTAAGTAATTATCTTATTTTCATAAATTGGCCTATTCATAGGTGTTCCACATTTCCGTGAAATGCCACTGAAACTTTGGTACATGGGTGCTTTTGGATAATCGCATTACTTCAGGGGTGAAATTTATGCATAATAATTACCTACTTGTATGGGGTAAATTGAAAGCACATGTTAATTGAAGGTACAGGTCATATTTCAATGATTTTGCATGTAATAAATGTAATTTTTGCTTTGTGTAAAGTTCTTATAAAGTAAATACAGTATTATACTTGGAACAGTAGACAGTGAATTTTGAGATATTACTTGAACAATGGTATTTCCTGAATTTGACCCAAAACATAATCAGGTCTGAGAGTGATTCAGTGTATGCAGCTAGTTTCATTGTAATCTTAAAAAAAATAATTATGCACAATTGGTAATTGAGACCAACTAATGTATCAAGATTCAATATTAGTGGTTCCTGAAATAGTGCAACGCACATAAAGACAAGGTAAACATATCTTGCATCTTTGACCCACGGAAGTCTGAATTGCCCAATTCACCAGCATTTCAAACAGTCTACGCCTCCTTCCCTCTCGAGTGTTACGAAATACTGCATCAATAAAATAAAATCATTGTTCAGGACAACCATAGCCACTAGGGTTGCAATTTTGTTTATCACTGTTAGTTATACCCCTCCCCCACCTTCCAGAGATGGCAACCTTCAAGTATGCAATACGTTTCAGAGAAGAGAACTCCAGATACACATTGGTATGACAATATAAACAGACTTTGAACTAGTGACAATACATGAATATTTTATTATAAATATGTTTTTATTTATTAATCAACACAATGTAAATAAGCACTGAATTATAAAACCCAAGTGCAGATCAGAAATACATACAGAAACCATTTATATGATAGTATATTCAATGTAAATGGTTTATTGCTGTCACTGCTACACATGGGTGTACATGTATATGTAATTAATAATGCTGCTGTAACAAAGTCACATGATCATAGGTTGACCAATCACAACACATTAAATGAGCTCGGATCAACTTCAATAACCTTTCATCTTAAAGCACTACAGTAGTCGCACTGTGTCATGTTCGATATGGGACCCATGGTGACAAGTGTGAAATACATTGTTTACAGGAATTCAAACACATGCCTTTGACCTAATTTGTATGATACGTTTCAGACCAAATTATACAACCATTGGCAGCCATTTTGTTGTTCCTCTACTATTGAATCAGCCATTTTGTTGCAAAGTAAATAATTGTGTAATGTATATTGACATGCAACTTGAACTCAAATTCCATAGCACTCTAAATATTATAGTTTAATAAAAGAATTTAAAAAACAATTGTTGCACTTCAATACAATTAAAGTGCCTTCTAAGGGCATACTTAAACCAAGAGGGAGGTCACATGTCACATTGAGTCCAAATTGACGATAACACACGCTAAAAACGCAAATGCTTATGGGTAGACGCTTGTTTGTAAACAATGACATGCTATGGCCATCTGATGCATGCGCAGGTGACAGCAAGCATAGATAAAAACAAACGAAATTTAATTCCCGCCACATGAGGGCACAAGGTTTTGTAAATTCATTGCTACCATTTACAGTGACTATCAAAACTGTGCTTGTGTGTATAGAAAGGCTCACAACTATTTTTTTTCATATTAATAATGACCAGTTTTCCGATATATTGCTGAAAGCCAATTACACATTCACAGGCCAGGTAGTAAATTCAAACAATTATCAAAATCATGTGTCATGCTTGTTCATTAAATTATTTTTTGTGATGATAAAGAACTGTTACATCTGTGAGCCCCGGCCGTAAACAATATTTATGTTTTGAACTGTGTATAACACAGTTTGTGATGAGGGCAAAGACTGAAAACAATAATAGAACCATGTAATACGTACATATGCAGTTTCGAAAGTGTCGCTTTGAGAGTGCTCTGTTGCCCCTGGTAAACTCACAACAATATTTGATGCTACCAAAAAATATATTTAATTGCAAAGAAACAGAAACTGATAGATGTAAAAGCAAACAGCATAAATTCAAATCCCATTTCTTTGCTCCATTAGTTTAGTGCATGTGATTATGTAAATGACAGATGTTTCTATTGTCAGACCATGTCATATTTTAATATTTGTTGTCTATGTTGTGCTTGCAATAGAGCAAATATGGTACTACAGTATAATGCTATATAGTTACGGAGTATGTATGGTACAAAAATGATAGAATCCTGATTGTAAATAAACTTGCATGGTTTACCCTGATAATTTGTGTATGATGAATTCTAAATATTCAAATTAAATATTATTTACATAATTCATATAACAATTAAAATAATATTAAGTAGACGGATTAATAAGTCAAATATTTGAAAAATTAAGCATAGATTGCATTATTACTATTCATGATAAATAAAATAGCATTTTGTTTAGATGACAATGCTGATGATGGCTCAGTTTAAACAAAATTGACAACTGCAAGCCAAATAGTGTCTGCAAATACTACTGGGTATATTTGTTTACAGACTAAACCTTGCTTAAAGAATGTGTTGGCAAAAGTTCCACATGGCAGGTTACAATGAATACTGTAGGGAAGTTGTCAATGCCTAAATTAATTTTATAGGAATAAAAAAAATAAACGTCTGGACCAATCTTCAACAAAAAAAATACAGGTACAGGTAATAAGTATACAATGACTATTAATGAATATTGCTCAAGATTTGCCAATACGTTTTGATGTTATACAGCTCACAGAGATGAGATTTCCACACTGGAAAATGTAACTGATAACAACTATGATTAAAACTATATGTACCAGAAATAATAAACAAATACGCCTCGTAATAAGGGTATTAACTCACACTAATATTAAATAATACAATGTTTAAGTACAATTCAGGTGACATGTGACAGACAGTTCAGGTGGAAGAGTTGAAAAGATTAATACGATAAGAAAACACTGGAAGAGGAAACGTGCATGATGATTGGACAGTAATAAAACAAAGTTCTCTGACAGAGAAAACATGTTAATATCCAGTTGGTGTCTTGGTGGTGAATCGTAAGTAAGCAATAAATGCAATGTTTTATTTAGTCTTTACTAGACAGTATTAAAACAATGCATCCAATATCTTTAATTACTCAAATCAACATATGCATTTGAATGTATTGGTCATTGGACTTGAATGCTTCAACACGTTAATCTGTCAAAACTAAAACAACGTACGTATCTTCATACATGCTCAGTTCAACATTGTATTCTCCACGCTCTAAAAAATGTTATACTCTAATTTTCATCCTTGCAAGAGTTGTACATTGTAAACTAAAGACACTGCATATCAGCACGTCACTTTATCTGCAAAGTTTAAATATGTATTTTAATTTGTAAATAATTATTTTTATCAATGATTTCATAATACTTTTTGTTCACTTTACATGACCTGGTGTGAAATAAACAAGACATGTACGAAATAAGCGATACATTGTAAATTACACATCCAATTTGACATCAGTAAAATCTGGCCATCATTTTGGTACTGGTCAACATACAGACTATTATATGTCAATATGTAACTACTACTGCTTCCCATATATTATTGGAAATTATTGTCATGCAATATAATTTTTTTATGCAGCATTTATAAAATATCTGAATCTTTCCTAAATAGGAAGAAAACTCAATCATAATTCACAACATTATGTCTGGAGTGTCTACAAAATGGAGCAGTTTGAACTAAACACATGTTTTACTATTGAATACTGGTAACCAATTTTTTTACTGATAGACAACTTCATTATGCGAGTCAACATATGTTCATACCAACAGAAGTACAATGGTCACATCTTTAGAATGTAATTTTACACTAGCGTTATTGATCCAACATATTCCTCCTCTTCTTCGTGGATAAACTGTGCAACGCCATATCGTTGCGGTTGACGACTAGGTGCAGTGTTTCTTCTTTTCGAGGCTGTACTTCTGTGTATATTTTCTCTGTTGTTTCCAAGTGATTGGCTTCTGATGTTCTTACCTTGGCCAGCTGGTGGTGGTACTGAATGAAACTACAAAACAAAACAAAAAAGTGAACAAATATTATTGCGTATCTTCAGTATTTATAAATGATGTTTTTAAAATAATAAACATTATAATCACAGCTTCTTATGCATATTTATAGTGAGTACCACACAATGCATTGTTTACATTGCGAAATACAGTAAATTAACAAAATTCTCAAGTGCACCATCGTAGAAGGCAAGTCAGTAATTTATTAATGTTACAGTGAAGCGTGGAAAGCTGTGGACATTATAAACATTTAAAAAAATATAAATTGTAATAAAATAAAATGGCAGTTTGATTTTAAATTGACCAATCTAGAAATGATCTTGTATCATGAGCCCTAATCAATATTATTATTGAGTCACTCCAACACCAACCAATTAGCAAGCCTTTCATTTTGAATAAGTTGGTGGTTGCAGTTTCTATGTGATGTGATCCAATCACTATTAAATATTTGAATTTGAATGAAATCTGATGAATAGTATTTTCAATTGTTTATGAATATGTTCATAAACTTAAGTACGGCTTTCTGCCCTTCACTGTATTGCAACACAAAATAAATTAAAGCAGAATAGCAACATTTATCAGCATCATTATATTGACTGTTCCTTGTATAACATCATATTCTGAACTGCAAACATAATATGTAATATACATTAGGCCCCATGTTTTCTTCCCCTTTATCCTTTTCACTACCAGTTCCCTCTTTTCATCACAAATTCATAAAATATTCCTGTTTATAGTCTGCACTTTTCTTTCAGAAGATTGGAACAAAAAAGGACAAATTTTTTGAATAAAAACAAAATATTGACTCAAATTTTGTCTGTTGGCTCCAAAATTAGGGTTCATTTTTCAGAAATATTGAAGAATATACGAAAAAAATGCAGAAAAATTAGGACAGTAAAATCTGGTGGTGAAATGGTTAACCAAACATTACTGCTGAATTTACCGGTAAGCAAAGAATACCGCAAAAAGTTATTTTACGCATGATGCCAATTAGAATGCAAAATTAGGGTTCATTTCCAGAAATATTGCAGAATACAAGAAAAAAATGCAAAAAATTTGGACAGTATAGTCTGCTTGTGAAAAGGTTAACCAAACATTACTGCTGAATTTAAGCAAAGAATATAGACATTTCAACTACCTCTATCAGAAGAACATCAAATCCCAAAGCCATGTATTTCCTATTGTTAAACGTAATGACAATACAAATATTTGTGTTAAATCAAATAATATATTCTGCTTTATACTCAGTATAAATTGTATCGCATGCAATATTTGAGTCAACATGCATGTGTAATAGAGGAAATAAGACATGATATGGAAATTTACCAAAACAGAAACGAAGTTCTGATAAATAAATTAGCAGCTAATTCACTGTTTTTTTTTGCCATTCATTTTGGCTATCAAGCAGTGTTAAAGGCGATAATGTATGGTGATAACAACTGTTGATGTATTTTAAGTATGTATGTAGTTATGTATGGCTGTTGTTCTGTTGTTATTTAAGAAGAATAACCAATGAAAACAAAGACGATATGAAATGTGGACGAATGAGAATGAAATGGCAAAAACTTACACGCACTTTTACCTTTAGTAGGTGGGGCAGGAGCTGATCGACACTGAAACAAAATGATCCAGCAATGAAATGACATTTTAGAAATAATGTGAACACATAAATTATTTATATTTATATTAAACATGAACAGTATGTACTGTGATCACATAATACATGTGTAAATGAACTGCACATATACTGAGTATAATATATCTGCCCATACATATATGGGCATTATGTAGTACACAATGTGAGCTTGTACTGCCCACAATACTTTACTATGTAAAAATAATTGATAATTGAACAATAATTATAGAAGTTTACAACAATTGTACCAGTGTGATTATGTGCTCCACATACTGAGATCATGTGCTCCACATACTGTCATCATCTGCTGCACATACTGAGATCATGTGTTACACATACTGTGATCATGTGTTGCACATACTGTGATTATGTGTTGAACATATTGTGATCATGTGCTCCACATACTGTGATCATGTGCTCCACATACTGTGAACATGTGCTCCACATACTTTAATCATGTGTTGCACATACTGTGATCATGTGTTGCACATACTGTGATCATGTGTTGCACATACTGTGATCATGTGCTCCACATACTGTGATCATGTGCTCCACATATTGTGAACATGTGCTCCATGTACTGTGATCATGTGCTCCACATACTTTGATCATGTGTTGCACATACTTTGATCATGTGTTGCACATACTGTGATCATGTGTTGCACATACTGTGATCATGTGTTGCACATATTGTGATCATGTGCTCCACATACTGTGATCATGTGCTCCACATACTGTGATCATATGCTCCACATACTGTGATCATGTGCTACACATACTTTGATCATGTGTTGCACATATTGTGATCATGTGCTCCACATACTGTGATCATGTGCTCCACATACTGTGATCATATGCTCCACATACTGTGATCATGTGTTGCACATACTTTGATCATGTGTTGCACATACTGTGAACATGTGCTCCATACCATAGCCTACATGTACTTACATATAATTATAAATGGAGCATACTAAAACTAATGCTACTCTAATTTCTACTAATAAGTTAACTCAATCAAGTTCTTACTTACTGGTTTATGTCTAGAGAATGTTGGACTCTGAGGAGCGGACACTGCTTGTGGTGGATGAGATGATGTTGGTAACATGTACGAATTGCTTGTACTATAATAATTTTGTTCTAATAAAATAAAATAAAATAAAATAAAAAAGTTTTAAAAAAATATTTAAAATTCAATAACAATATGTAGCAGATAAAGTTAAATTGTTACAGCCTCATATTAGCATATTCAGTGTACAAGTATAATTTAATTACCGGCGATGTTAACTGAAGAGGGTCGTACTCTTTCCCGCGGAGGAGCCAAACCATCTTGAAGTGACGTACCATGTTCAAATGTTAGCGAACTAGATTTTGGTAGTGACGTTGACAACACGGGTTTAGACTGCCATGTTGGCTCTGCGGATTTATCATTAACTGGTATGACCTGAGAACAAATGAACTAAGAATTGTATTCTAAATATGATTAATTTCATGTCGACATCTGCATGTCTATATCAATAGTTTTGTAGGAGAATGATAGAGATGAAATCATGGCGAGTGAAGAAGGAGTAAAAACAAGCCATGCATGGCACAGTCCCCGTTAGTTATCAAATTTAAGATATATAGTTTTGTTTATAGTAATATAGCTGAAATATAACCATGTCAATGATATGATTTTTTAACATTAAAATGATTGAGGTTTATCTGATGGTCAAAAAAGTACTTGTCCATATTGAGAGATATTGCTCTGGAACAGCATTCAAAATCAGCCATTTTGAATACATGTATATATATAACATGATGTATAACGAATATATAAAATTTGAATATATAATCAGTCGAAGCATTTAAGAGATGGCTCTAGAAGCCCAATCATTAAAACAAAATGGCCGCCAGTCAACCATTTTGAATCCAATTTGAAAAATAAAATGACGTGCATCAGAACCTGTAATGTCTAATGTATGTACCAAGTTTGAACGAAATCCATCCATAAATGCCAGAAACGCGTGATATTTGATGATTTTTTAGCACAAAAATGTCCACCATTCGGCCATTTTGAATAGGATTGTCAAACCAATATATCTGTTTACCTATGACATGATGTATAATGAATATTTAAAATTTGAATATAATCAGTTAAAACAAGTCGGAGATATGGGTCTAGAAGCCCATTCAATAAAACAAAATGGCCGCCAGACAGCCATTTTGAATCCGATCTGAAAAATAAATGATGTGCATCAGGAACCTATAATGTCTAATGTATATACCAAGTTTGAACAAATTCGATCTGTAAACAGCCGAGAAATGCTTGATTTTGATGATTTTTAGCACAAAAATGGCCGCCATTCGGCCATCTTGAATCGGATCAAGAAACAAATTGACATGCATATGTATAATATCATGTATGATGTATGTGTGAAGTTTGATTGTGATTGGTCCAGGTATTTCTAAGATACAGGTCCGGACGTACGCACACACGCACGCATGTACGCACAGACACACGTAGGTCAAAACATAAGTCCCCGTTTTCGGACTGTGTCCGAACGGGGACTAAAAACCTAATTACAGAGCGGTGAAAAGTAGCATGAGACGAATTCCTGAGAGAGTTGTTATTTTTACCATGGGCGGCTGCATAGAATGTAATTCCTCTACAACCATCGATGGGAACACACCAATTTTACCATTGACTTCACCTTCCCAGAATCCATCATCAACGCCATTATCATCCTTTCTTGTCACTTTAATTAGCTGTCCTTCATTAAAAGACAACTCATCTTCAGAGGATCCATTATAATCGTAGAGCGCCCTCACCATACAAACTGAAAAGTAGTAAAACTATCCATTATAACAGTACAGTGCTCTCACCATACAAACTAATCAAAGAAAGCTTAGAAAGAACTCCCGTGTGCTGAGAGTATTGGAGACACATTCAAAATTAATTCAAAATTA